GCCAGAGGGTGGAATGCCATGGATAGTAAAAGGCTTTACAAAAGGGATTATTGTGTGATTAATGTAGACTAATGTAAAGAGAATGCATAATATATATTTTATTGTTGTTGTTAAGTGTCATTGAGTTGGTTCCAGCTCATAGTGAACCTGTATAGTATTTTCAAGGAACGCTTGGTAGGTTTGAACTGCCGACCTTTTGGTAGCTGTCAGTGCTTAGCCTATAGTGCCACACCAGGACTCCAAATATTTTATAGGAACTTTATAAATTATTACATTTATAGCATTCAGAAGACAAAATGATAATGTAGTCACTCACCTTAGAAGAGAAATTGTGATAGCATTAAAAATTGACTTGTACTCCATTATTGTGTATTAGAAAAATATTAGAGAATTAAATACCACTTTTTCTGATTACATCACCAGAAGATATATTTTTAAGCAAAATAAAAATTAAATAGTAAAGTGCTGAAAAGAGAAGGGGAAAGTAAAGTAAAATCATCATGAAAAATAAAAGTGAGCAATTATATGTTGTTGTTAACTGCTGTTGAGTTGGAACTTGTAGTGACTCTATGTAGGGTTTCTGAAGAGTAGCTGTTGTGTCGTTGTGAAGTGCCATCAAGTCGGTTCCAACCCATAGTGACTCTGTATAGGGTTTCTGAGGAGCGACTGGTGAGCTTGAACTGCCGACCACGCAGTTCAAACAGCTTTACAGTCTGGCGCATTAGCCCACAGCGCCACACCCAATCTCATTGCTAGCAGTCCAGTGCTTATCGTACCATGCCACATCAGGAGAGTGACAAAACTAATTTAGAAATGTAATAAACAATGAATACAGAGATTCTGATGGTAAAAGTATTTTAAAAGTAAATTTCTTACTTTATTATGTATAATGAGAAACATTTCAAAAAATTTCAAAAGAAATTTTTTGGCTCATGATAATTTTGAAGTGTGATTATTTCTAAAACTGTCTGTATTACTGGGAAGTTCTTCAAATCAATACACTAATCTTTTTTACTGAAGGATACATTCGTTTGAAATCCAAAGATTTACATCATTCAAAAAATCAATCAGTGAAAATGAGGAAGAAGAAAAGGAATCCTATTTCCAAAATATAGCAACAGAAAAATAGAAAATATGAATGAAGCAATTTAATAAGAACAAATAATAAAAACTCTCATATATCAATGGAAAAGCAAATGACATTCAAATGAGAAAAGCAGTCATTGTCACTGTTTCAACAAACTTAGAAATTTATCAATTAAAGAGATTCTTTCAGTTTTTCCAAAGGAATGAAATATAATTCATATAATATGCTCAAAGTGTACCAAGATGAAGCTTTGGGTAACACATTAACATTTACATTACATGTAAGCACTTTGGAAAGCAACCACTAACTAATAGTAAACAACTCGACTTGCAGTCTTGCACACTAGACTAGAATAAGCTCTTTGAGGAAGAAATTCTGTTTGTTCACTGCTGTAGCTCCTGCGTCTAGAATAGTGCCTTGCACATGGATGCACAATTATTATTTCTCAAATAAAGGCAAAATCACTAACATAAATTTTCTGAGACAAAAATATAATGATATTTTCAGTAACTGACAGTCATATACCACCATCTCATTATTAAGAAACTGAACTAATAGAGCATTTTAACAAAAAGCATTTCTTATTGCATACTTTACAAGAAAAAAGAATCAGCAATGCCCTACTGTGAGCATCAATGTTTTCAATTGTTTTTCCTCTATGCTTTGGAGAAAAAAGAAGCGTCAAACTTATTTCAAAAGTTGGAATGTGAAAAAAATCAAAAAAGTTGGAATGTGTTCTGTTCTTCCTGGTTCTAAGTGGAGAAGATGAAATTACTTTCAATACAATAATGACTGATGTTGAAGACCTTTCTTAGATGTTTTATTAAATACATATGTGACTACAGTTTCCATGAAAATGCAGAACATATTCCTTTTCTAATTTTTTTAAAAACATATGATGCTAAGCTCTCTTATGTGGGATGTAATAAAAGTTTTATTGCAAGTAAATTTTACATCACAAAGAGAGGATATTTCCAAAGTTTGTTACTTACTTCAAATTGATCCAGAGCATTGGTAGGCGTATTCAAAAATGCCAAGAAAGAATGCTGTGAGTCTTGGTGCTCTGTACCTAGAAAACAGCAGCAACTTTTTAAAAACTAGAATAATTAAAAGTAATTTTCATGGATAACCTTTCCTGTCTGAATCTATTAAAAGCTATTCACAAACTATTGTATTTCAAAGATGATCAATATTACTAAGCATATAATTAGTTAGTTACAATCAAGCTGATTTTGATCCATGGTGACCACACGCATAATAGAACTGCTTTCTTCTCAGGTACATGTGGGTGAGTTTGAACCACCCACTTTTCAGTGAGTAGTAGATAATTTAGCCATTTGTGCCACCTAGGGATTACTTTTCCCATATATTATTCAAAAAACCACATGAAGCATTTTGGTACACTTGAGAAAATTTAAAAAACAGGGACCTGTTTATATCGGATTTTCTCTAAGTGAATTTATCACCAAAAAGGACTTTTGTTTTAAAATACTCTTATCAAGCACATAATCTATACTAATACTGACTAATATAAATAATTTCTATAAAAAATAATTCATTGATAAAATAAATGTGGTGATGGTGGTGGTTATGTACCATGGAGTTGGTTCCGATTTACAGAGAACCTGTATAGGGCTTCTGAGGCTATAAATCTTTATGGGAGCAGAAAGCCTCATTTTCTCCTATGGAGAGGCTGGTAGATTTGAACTGCTGATACTGTGGTTAGCAGCCCAACTCATAACCCACTATGCTACCACACCTCTTTAAAATAAATGTACTTAGTTGTAAAAAAACTTTCGTGAAGGTATTAATGTAATCTGATTTGAAGTATTGTTTAAATTTGACAGAATGAAGAATCTAAATTCCAGTTTTTCTCAGATAAAAATTTTAAATGTTATACATACCTCTTGGCTATGGTATTAATTTTAAATGTACAATTTCTAAAATAACTCTTTAAATATGTATATAATAACATCCAAATACTAAGGGAGGAAAAACCAGAAACAATGAAGTACACATTTTTAAATTTCCAAATCCTTTGCAATTGGCATTAACCAGCTGCATGGCTTTCATATTACTTTTTAATGATAACTTAGGACTTGTTGGGTGGCACCAATAGTAAAGAGCTGGCTACTAGCTGTGAGGCTGGCAGTTTGAACTTACTCAGCGGCACTTTGGAAGCTAGGCTTGGTTGCACATCTACTTCTGAAAGGGCACAGTCCTATGAAGCAGTTCTACTTTCCACACATGGGGTCATCATGAGTTGGAACATACGTGAAGACAGCTGATTACATCTTAATTACTAGGTAAGGTATGCTATTCAGAAATTCATTCAGTACATAATACTTATGGAGAACCTATTAATGTCAAACACTGTTTTAAGTATTTAGGGATATTAACAGTAAGCAAAGGAGGGAAAAAAATCCTTGTCTTCATTATATATTAAAGCATTATAGTATGTCATGGCAAACAGTGAAATTTATTATTATGCAGTATTTAAAGTACAAGTACAAGGCTATATGTTAACATGCTTTCGTAAAGTATTCTGATAAACTATTTTCTTCAAATTTTTTCTATTCTAAAAATGATGCAGCCAATGTCACCTGGTGTACGCGAAGTTTCATTCTACATTTGTCTTTTTTTCTATATAAATTGCCTCTAGGACTGCAAGGCCTCCAGCTCTCTATATTATTTTTCCTGTCTTCACTAAATAATATATGAGGGGGCTTCAAAATGTTCATGAAAAATTCTGTTATGTTTTAATCCTATTTTTCCATGCATGAGCTTTTTGAAGCCTCCTCGTATTTCCCTTCCACTTTTCATGAACTAAAACCCAATTTGGTTCTCATTTTAGAAGGGATGGCTTGTGTCCTTAACTGGAATTCCTATTCACTTTTTTCTGGGCTCCTGGCCTTTTATTGATCATTAAATTCAATCAGTAAACATTTACGGAACATCTACTTTTAGTGGCTTTTCATGGTAGCTCCTTTATGTGGTTACCATCTACCCTCCACAATTTTAACAGCAGTTGCATAGATTCAGCTACCTTCACTTAAGTGTTTGTCACAGGGCTGGGGAAGGATGGAGAAGCACACAGCCATAAAGAAAATCTATTAACTATCTCAATATTCAGTCCCTTGTGAGAAAAATGAACTTCTCAAAATTGCATATAAGATATCCCTTCTATTAAAAATAAAACCCTTAACTTTAAATTATAGAAAACAAGTTTTAACTTTCACATTAATAGAAAAAGCTCAAGTCAGGTTTTTAAGAAAATGGCAATAAATCTTAGGAATTAATTTCAACAGGGCAAGCAATCTTAGAATCAAACATGGAAGATAACAAAATAATTCTTTACTGAATTGACCTTATAATACTGAACTAGATCTTAGATTATTTCACACATTATTTCCTTAACTATTCTGGGAGTGAATTATCCCCAAGATTTTACACATTTTGGGAATATATGTCACGTTAATAAATACTTATTTTAAGTATCCTGACTAACTCTTAAAGATTACACACATTGTAATAGTAATTACTTTTTTGAGAACATTTGAGAATATAATAAAATATAATACAAAATTAATATTTTAATTACAACAATATTATCATGAAATAGTCCATGATGCTGAAAAGATAGTCAAATTTATGGTGATAAGACGTTATCTATAAAAGTCATTTAAAAATCTTATATTATAAAATTTTAAAACAATGAACATTAAATAAAATGACTTAAAGGAGTCTACCAAATGTTTGTGTGCTTGTCATATTGTATATGCACATATTAAAAAATGAGCACCACAATTACTTATGTCAACAATTCCTCCAATTATACAATAAACTGCTTCTTGCATAAAATGTACTTGTAGTAGAACAAAGTCATAATGAATGCAAACACACGTTCCCATACCCTTTTCAGATCTAAGTTCTTCAGTGTCCTTTATTAGTTGTTCCATTTCTGCTAGTAGTTCCAAGTTCTTCTTCTCTGAATCTTTTAGTTTACTTAAAATAGGGATAAAATAAAGTAATTAATTTCCATTGTTGGTGTTTTCATCTTGTATGTAACTGAACTTATTTAGTCTAAATGTCAAGATTAAAAAAAACATGACCTACACCTCTGGAAGCAGTAGCTCAAATGAGGCAACAAATTCTTACAGCAAGAATCATTCCCACCCCCTCCACACACAGAGTAGACAGGGATGGGCAACTTGGACATTGGCTACCCAAAATGGGGTGGGGGGTGCTACAAAGGCAAGAAGTGACTGGCTTACAAGCTTTCAGGAGGGAACCTAGAGCCAGGGGGCCTGAAGGAAGGCAGAATCTCCAGTGAGTAGTATGCAATCTGCCTAGGTGGAGCTGATGAAATGAAATGCAGATGAGTCTCTTGTGATACAACAGTGAATAATTGTTATCAGGACTGATTGTGAAGGTTGGAAATGTAAAGGTACACGTTTTATAGGAAGGAAGGCAGTGAATAACTTTCCAGTCTAGGAGCAGAGGTCCCTGGACCATCAACGGAGAAGAGCCGAGAGTGGGACCCTACCCAGAGAAGCAGTGATGCCTGAGATGCAGGCAGAGACAATGACGTGGAGCGATGACGTGGAGTGGGGACTTTAGATCCAGAGAGGGAGAGCGACTGTGTGCTGAAGACTTGGGGGGTGGGGTGGGGGTGGGGTGAATAGTGTAGTGGGCAGGCTTGCAGGGCATATCCTTTGGTTGGTTGATGATGCATGGAGGGGATTGGAACCATGGCAATGAAATGATATACGATAGAATGAATGTAAAACTAATGTTCTCCCATGTAAATTATCATATAATTCACAATAAAACACTAAACAAACAAACAAACAGACAAAAAACCAAATCCATTGCTGTCAAGTCAATTCCATCTCCTAGCAACAGAAGAGAACTTCCCCCTAGGGTTTCCAAGGCTGTGAATCTTTACAGAAGCAGATTGTAACATCTTTCTCCTATGGTGTGGCTGGTGGGTTTGAACTGTCAAACTTTCACGTAGCAGACAAATGCTTAACCTCTGTTCCACCAGGGCTCATTCAAGATAAACTCCACTGGTGTCGACTCATAGAAACTTTACAATACAGAACTACCCCATAGGGTTTCCAAGGATGTAAATCTTTATGGGAGCAGAGACTCATTTTTCTCCTGCAGAGCAGCAGCTGATGGGTTTAAACTTCTTATATTGCAGTTAGCATTCCGATGCTTAACCCACTGCACCATGAGAGCTGCCACCTATCTATGTGTAAATATAGTTTAACTGGAACACAATCATCCTCATTTATTTTTGTATTGTTCTATGGTTGCTTTTGGATTCCTGATGTGGTGCTGTGGGTTAATGCGCTAGACTGCAAAGTCAGTTTGAACTACAAGGTCGGCAGTTCAAACTCACCAGCTTCTTCTTGGAAACCCTATAACAGGGTCACTATGGGTTGGAATTGACTCAATCACACTTGACAACAACAATGACTGCTTTTATGCCACAAACAGCAGAGTTAAGTATGCTCTCAAAGCCTAAAATATTGACTAGTCTTTTTTAGAAAAATGGTTGCTGACCTCTGAACTAAATTTTAAATAAAAAAGATGCTATACAACTAAAAGTTAATTTTAGCATTCTGTTATGAGTTTTTCCATAAGGAACCTTGCAAGTGGAGCAAATATATGAATAAGTTTGTAAATTACAATGAGACTAGTAGCTCTGGTTTATAAACAAACGCGTGTCTTCAAATGTCCTTAACATATAATGAAAGATCATACCTATTTCAAGTTACAACACAGAAAATGACATTCAGCATTTTTTATACTGGAGTCCTGGTGTGGCGCTGTGGGTTAATGTACCAGACTGCAATTGCAAGGTCGGCATTTCAAGCTCACCAGATGCTTCTTGGAAACCCTATACAGGGTCACTATGAGTCATAACAAGTAGCATGGCACTTAACAATAATAAGCAAAACCCTTAACGCCATCACAACTGTGAGCGGATGTAAGGGAGTTTCTCAGAGGTGTTGCCAGCAGCATCTTTTATCTTACAAGAGATAAAAGGAGACAGAAGTGAGCAGAGAAAGGTGGACCTCCTACAACTAAGACAGCAGAGCCTGAAGTGGAGTGAATCCTTTAGACCTGGGGTTCCTACATTGTGAAATTCCTAGATTCAGGTTAAGATTGATGCCAAGACACTGGGCGATCTCTATGGAATGCTGGGCCTACAGATGCAGAAAGGAGTCAAAAACCTTTCCTCAGAGATGACAAAAACACAAAGCTTTCCCCTAGAGCCAGCACTCTGAATTTGTACTTCTAGTCTCCTTACTGTGAGAATAAATTTGTTTGTTAAAGCCATCCACTTTTGGGATTTCTGTTATAGCAGCACTAGATAACTAAAACACTGTAAATCCCACTTTTTGAAGAAGTCAGAGAAAAACAAGATTGTATTAAAATCCCATTACTAGAGACAAAAGTTGAAAGCATCTATTCATTTTCAAATCATGACAAAAATATTAACAACCATAAGAGGTTAAATGATAGGCAAGAAATTAAATATATAATTTCACTTCAAACATTTTTTGAAAGACCTAGAAATTATCCTATTGCCGTTAAGTGCATTGAATTAGTTTTGACTCATAACAACCTTGTCTAGGGTTTCTGAGAAGTGGCTGGTGGGTTGAACTGCCGACCTTGCGGTTAGGTGTTCAGTGCTTATCCTACAGTGCCACACCAGGAGCCTTAGAAATTATCCTAGTAGGACTATATTGGAGTCCTGGTGTGGCAATGTGCATTAATGTGCCAGACTGCAAAGCCGCTTGAACTGCAAGGTCGGTAGCTCAAGCTCACCAGATGCTTCAGAACCAGGTGAGTCGCTATGGGTCAGAACCGACTCTATGGCACTTAACAACAACAACAAGGACTATATTATTAAATCTTACCACTCAGTTATGATGTTAGATGCTTTAACTTTATTCAGCTCTTCTTGAATGGTCTGTTTGGCTCTTATTTCTGCATCTAGAGCTGACTGCAACTCCAATCTAGCTGACATGTCCAGTTTTGCAAAACGACGCATCTTCCAGGGCATATCCTATGAAATAATATGACCATGCTTTTAACTCTATGAAAGTAAATGGGAGCTCACTAATATCAAAAGACTGGAAATATTAGTTGTGAAAATGTTTTATTTTTCACTAAATTTAGAAATAATTATAAGGACAGATATAAAAGAATTCCTTTTTAATAGTTATTACCAATAAAGGTTATTAATACAAATTATAGTTTAAGTAGATATATTTAATGTTTTTTTAACCTGGAAAAGACTTGGGTTAACTGATTTCTCATGAAAATGTTTACAATAGAGGAAAGCCCAGAAAGACTGATCTAAGTAATCAGATGTATCAGGATTTTTTTTTTTTAAGTTTTCTTTTTTCTGTTATGATATGGCTCCATGAAAAATAGTAGCACTTACTGTTGTCCGTGTACCCAGGCTGGAATTTCTTAACGATTCCAATTCTTCAGTCATTTTAGAGGCTAAGGCCTGAAGATAACCTCGTGCATCCTTTTCATCACTGACCCTAAAATAAGCATACAAAATATAAAGGACAGAAATTAAACAAATGGAACTATTATTTTTAAATATTTATATTCAAAGAAGTGATTACTGATAGAAATTGACAGATTTTTAAAAGATTTATTATAGTATTATTATTTGTCGACAGAAGGTAAGAGGTTTACTGAACCATTAATTCTGACTTCAGAGAACTTAAAAGGACAGAGTAGAATTGTCCTATAGGGATTACAAAGCTGTAATCTTTACAGAAAGCACTGATGACTCTGTAGGATAAGCACTGGTTTATGAACCACAAGATCAGATGTTCAAGTCTAGCAGCCATTCCACAGAAGACAGATGAGACTTCCCGCTCCTGTAAAGATTTACAGTCTCAGAAACTCTATATAGAGTTGCTGTGAGTCAGAACAGACTTGATGGCACAAAACAACAACTCTTTACAGAAGCAGACAGTCATACCTTTCTCCCATGTAGTGACTAGTGGATTAGAAATGACAACCTTTTGGTTAGTAGCTGAGCACTGTAACAAATACATCAGCAAGACTCTTACTAAACTATGGGTTATCTACAAATTAAAGCTGGTGATGTTTAGAAAAGATTGAAATACTTATATCTAATACATTGGTAAAACATCATTCTTAAATCACAGGATTAATATTCTTTTTTTTTTTTTTTTTTTGACTTTCCAAAATAACTCATATTCTTTTTTTTTTTAATGTTTTATTGTGAATTGTGTGATAGTCTACATGGGAGAACATCAGCTTTACATTCATTCCATCATCCATCATTTCATTGGCATAGTTATCATCCTGTCCATGCATCCTCACCCAACCAAGGGGTGTACCCTGCAAGCCTGCAACCCACCCACCCCCACCACAGTCCTCAACCCCTTTCCATCTCCTGATCCTGAGCCCCCAGCCCCACCATCTCTTAACGTTGTCTTCTCTGCCTCCATCCCAGGCCTCACTGCCTCTCTGGGTAGGATTCCGCTCTTCGCTCTTCTCCATTGATGGTCCCAGGGTCCTCCGCTCCTAAACTGATAAGTTAATCACTCCCCTCTTTGCTACAAAATGTCCATCTTTAGATTTCCAACCCTCTCAATCAGTCCTGATAACATTTATTCACCATTGCATCACAAGAGACTCATCTATATTTCGTTTCATCAGCCCTTCCTGGACAGGCTAGACACCACTCACTGGAGACTCTACCTTACTTCACGCCCTCTGGATCTAGGTTCCCTCTTGAAAGCTTGTACGTCAGTCACTTCTTGCCTTTGTATCCCTCCCCCCATTTTGGGTACCCAATGTCCAAGTTGCCCATCCCTGTCTACCCTTTGTGTGGAGGGGGTGGGTATAGTTCTTGCAGCAGGGACTTGTTTCCTCTTTTGAGCTACTGCATTTATAGGTGTAGGTCATGTTTATTGAATTATATTAGATGATGCTTTTTTCCCCTCTTCTTTCTTCTTAGGGTTGAGCTCGGTTTATCCAGTCATTGAAGTCCAGTTAAATGGGCATCATCTGCAAGTGTGGGTGTTCTTACGTCTGTCCAGCCTCTTTTTATCGGCTGGCCACCACGCTCTCCACTCTAGACCTCTGTGGCTGTGTCACTGACCTGAGCCCATGAGTCCCCAGATGTTGCCTCACTACTGGCCGACCAGGTCTCCATCCGGGTTCACAGTAGTTTGCTGAACGATGCAGGACTTAGCTTGCCCCTTCATTGATGTTCTTCGGTCACTTCCCCTTCTGGGTGACGTGCATGGTTGTCAGTCAAAGTGTATATTTCCCTTGTGTCTTAGCCTTGGAAGAGAATCTGCACTGAGAGGATCTGATCACTTGCCTTGATGTCTCCTGGGCAAGCCACCTATATGTTCTTGTCGTACTAGTCGGACTGCCCTTACTGTTTTGTATTTTTCCTGTAGGTCCTTCTTTCAAGAGGTATCTGGTGGTTTTCTAGCTGCTCCCGGCTGGTCTGCTTGTCCTTTCAAGTGGAGAAATTTCCCGTCTCTGAAGGTTTGGTTGTGGTTCGGGCTTCCACCTATACTCCCATGTAATGCAGAGGCTCCTCAGTAAACCTCCTTCACTGGACACATTGTAGCCCATTTTAGGTATTCTAATCTGTTATAGGCAGAAGATGGGCTTACAAGCTTTCCATGTTGATATTTCTGGTTATTCCTTTCTCTTCCCCTCCAGTATCTGTTTTATAATGTATTGCAAGGAAAATCAAGGTTCAAAAGATAGGCAAGCATCTTAACATTACTCCTCCACTTTCCCCATTCCATCCATGTCTCAGTCTCTGTATTCCAGAGCCCTGTTGTTCTAAAGCTGTGCCTACATCATTTTTTTACCTCTGTCCCATTTAGCCCATTTATACCTATTTGTTCTCTCGTTTGCTTTGTTCTTCGATTCCTCTCTCCCTTTTTGTATATTGCCCCCCGACCCAATACCCAAATTATCTTGTGTCTATTCCCTGCCCTGTGCTCCACCTTCCCCTCCCACCCCTGTCCCTACCCCTACATCCTAACAACCCCCTAAGAGTCCACTTTAGTGGGTTAGTATGGGTTCTTTTAAGGAGCTCTGGTAGCATAGTGGTTAC